CGGTGGTGCCCAGCACACCAGCCCCACTCCACAACCCCACGGGCGGCCCCAAACCCGCACCACCAGAGGGTCATTTCACAGGGGATGGGCACCGGGGCCGCGTGGGGCACGGGATCTGCGCCATCCTTTGGGCTGCGGAGCCTCCCAGCCTCTGCGGCAGCACCAGCACCCAAAAGCATCCCGGAATGCTGTGGACCTCCAAGTCCAGCTCGTTCGGACACCTCCCATCACGCCAGGTTGCTGCCAGGTCCATCCTGGGCACTGCCAGGGGTGAGGATTTGCACCCGCACTGCCCCAGCCCCCCGTGCCGCGCTGGAGCCGCTGCAGAGCCCACCCAGCGGGTGACACGCGATGCCACAGCCCGGCGACATCAATAATGCAGCGGGGTCAGCGCCAGCGTCCCACCGCTCCGCCCGGCTGCTGCCGCCGCCCTGGCACGGAAATCCCAACCCCAGGGATCCCTGTGCCAGCCTGGCCGGGCTCCCACCCCGCACAAACCCCTCAGGGCACAGGGGTGCCCATGGCAAGCGCTCCGGGGTTGGCAGAGGCTCTCCGGGCACCTTGCCTTCCTCACCCATCCCATGCCCTCACCCGCCGGCAGCCCCCACGCTGCAGGTGCACGGCTGGCTCTGCAAAGTGGTTTTCTTTTAAAGCAGAGCCCCCAGGGTGGCACATCCCTGCTGCCCCCTGGGCACAGACACGGCTTCCCCTCGCCTCTGCCCTGGCACCCCCAAAAACAGCTGCCGTGGGAAGGGCAGGGAACTCACGGGACACAGCCACAGCTCCCCGGGCTCTGTGCCCGAGGGCTTCCCCACACCTCTCCCTGCACAGCAGGAGCCTCACCAGGCCGTGCCAGGGCTCAGCTTTGCCATCCTCCCCCTGCCACAGAGCCGAGCCTGCCGCGGGCAGTGGAAGATGCTGCAGGGAAGTGCTTTAATTCAAACCATCCACTTTATTTTTTTTTTTTTTTGTTTAAATTGCATAATTGCTGCAGACATTTCTGCTCATGTTCGGTTTTATTACATCTCTGTGGTTATTCTACAAGCCCTAAATTTTGGGCCTCGACTGAGTTGGCAAAGTGCTCCAGAAACATCTGTCCCGAGTTACTCCCCTCGCGGGGCTGTGGCAGAAGACATCACAACACAGGGGGTTTATTTGCAACAGACCAAAAGTTCTTACTCCTGACCCAAAGAGAAGGGTAAATATTGACTGCCTCGAGGTCAGCGCTGACCCCACAGCTGTCCCCAGACACGCAGGGGGCTCAGGAGCTGCCACCACCCCCCTGTCACCCCAGGGACACCAGGCTGCTGCCTCCAGCTCCTGCCAGCTGCCATCCTCAGGTGACACATCCCTCCCCAGCACAGGACAATCAACAGCCACTAATTCCCCTCCTTTAAATCCCCAGCAGCTCCCAGATGTGGGTTTGTCCTCCACAGGATAAACTCTGGAGTTTATCCTTCACCAAGGTTGTAAAGGTCCCTTTGCACACCCACCCCCTGCACACCAGAGCGTGCAGGAAGGGAATTGCACCACCCCCAACGCCTCCCTGGCTTTGCTGTTGCTCTTGTTTCTCCTACAAACACACCTGGAGAAGGCAGCACGTCCCAAGGACAACCCTAATGGCCACACCAGGGTCCCAGTGCCCAGCAGGAATGGGACAGCAGAGCCACAGCCCCTGCAGAGGTGCTGCCAGCCCTGGCCAGGACAGCTGCCCACCACGGACACCTCTGGAAGGACCAGCAGCACCCAGGTGAGGTCCTGGCAGCCCTGCAGCTCCCCTGCCTTTCACACACCACCAGCCCAGGCGTTTCACTGCAGCCACCCAAAGGCACCTTTGCCATCCAAGCAGCTCACACCCAGCACCTGGAGCAGCCCCTGCCACCCTGGCACCCCCTGCCCCACCCCTGCAGCTGCCAGGCAGGGCACAGCCAGAGCCCTGGGAACAGCCTGGTGGCCACCAGGACCTGCTGGGGACAGGGGAGCACCTGTGCCAGGCACATTCTTCTCTCTCTCAGGATTGTTCATAGAGGTGCACAGAGAGAAGAAAGAGAAAACAATTTCTATTTCTGCTCCTTGTTTTTCCCATGTGGAATGTGTTTGGAGAATTGTTTCCCTGGGGTGATGCTTGGTTGGATTCTGGTGAGGATTGTTTGAGCCTGGTGGCCAATCCAATCCAATCCAACCCAATCCAATCCAATCCAATCCAATCCAATCCAATCCAATCCAATCCAATCCAATCCACCTGGGGCTGGGCTCTCAGAGAGGGTCACAAGTTGTGAGTTAGATATGGTAGTTAGAAAAAGTAGGTTTGTAGTTTTAGTATCTCCTTTAAATAGTAAATTAATGTATTGTAGTATAGTTATAATAAAGAAATCATTCAGCCTCTGAACTGGAGTCAGACACCAGCATTTCTTCCCCCCAAGCTCACCTGCATTCACAATAAGCACCTGGCATGGAGGACACGTGCCCTGCCAGGGGACAGAGTGGGACAAACCCCCCCAGCCCAGCAGACACAGGAATGGGCACAATTCTGTGGGGCAGGGCAGGGCAGCCCTGGCTCCCCGTGCCACCACGGCCACACAGGGCACTGTCCCCACGGCGCTGGGGACAGCAGAGCTGTGACAGCCACAGCTGCTGGCTGCCAGCCCTGCTCCCCGGGCAGGATTTTAAACACCTGCTGAATTATTCATGGCATCACCGAGGTTCCTGGAGGGTTCCTGGAGCACGAGGTGCTGGGCACCAGGTCCCTGCAGGGTGACCTCCCCACCCATGGCAGCTCCGGGGAGGTGGCAGGGCTGTGCCCACCCTCCCTGCTCCATCACATCCAGATCTCCCTCCTGGTTTTGTTTCAGCTGCTCGTCTCTTCAGGCCGCCCTGAAGAACCCCAATGCAGGAAAACTCCAGCCTTTCTATAAACAAACGCTGCTGACAAAAATGCAGCTCCCTGGAGCAGCCCCGAGCACCAGCCCCACTCCCACAGGGGCAGCCTGGGGCCACGGGGGGGGGAAGGAGCTGCCTTCTCTCCTTCACTGAACGCTTCCAGGAGAGCTCAGAAAAACCCCAAATCTGGCTGGGGACAAATCTCTGAGTGTATCCCAGCTGTCACAGCCTCACTGCAGCAAAGATCTCCCAAAAACCCCTCACACTTGAGAACTGAACATTCCAGTGCCTGTGATCTGCTGGATTAGGGTTAGATTTGAACTGCCCCATGGGGGGACGCAGTGCTGGGGGCTGAGCAGGGCAGAAATCGGGGTCCATCACCCCTTCTCCACCAAGACCTGGCCTCCTGCTGCTTTGGCAGCCAGCAAAGGGCACACACCAACCAGACCAGGAGCAGGTTTCACCACCTTGAATCTGGCAGGGTGGAAAGGCACAGGAGCAGGATGCAGGTCCTGCTGCTCCGGCCACCCCTGACCTGATCCCAGAGCCACACGGGGCCCTGGCACAGAGAAGTGACCTTGGCAGGGCAGCTGGCAGTGCCCAGCTCTCCCAAGAGCTGCCGAGGCAGGAGCAAACCACCCCAAGGTGCTCAGCAGCCCGAGCCCATCCCCACGAGAGGGGAATCACCCCCAGAGCCAGCTCCCCTCACCCAGCCCAAACATCAGCCCTGTCTCCAGCACTGAAAAGCCCCTCTGGGGGGGAGCACGGGCTCTTCTCCCCCTCCCCACTCCCAGCCCTGCCCTGCTCTCCCTGTCCCACCCTCTCCTTGGAGGAGCCAAAAGCCAAAGGCCGGAAAGGACCGTCCTGTTCCCCCGGCCTGACTTCCCGTCAGCTCCCAGTGCTGGATCCCGACCAGCACACAGAGCACAGCAGAGGAAATGCCCGTGTGGAGAGCCACCCTCTCCTTGGGAATGGCTCCTCTCCCAGCCCTGTCCCAGGGCGCTCAACCCCCAGGGGCAGCACAGCCACCAGCAGCCTCACACAGACCTCCCGACAGCTTCAGATCGGGCAATAAATAAATAAAAATAAAACACTGCCTCCAAGCCTGCCCCAGGGAAGGGGGATCCTTCTCTGCAAGATTCCAAACAGCTCCAGAGGGAAGGAGCAGAGGTGAGACCCTCCTCTCCTGCCAGCCTGCTCCTGCCTCACACCAGCATCACCCCTCATCTGCACTGGGGGATTTCTGCACCAGGGGCTCCTGAGGACACAAGGCTTTCCCATTTTCCCATGGATGTCCTCCTGGCAGCCCAGTGGCCACTTCTGGGCCAGCATTAGCCACCACCCCCACGGCGAGGGGATAGAGACAGACCTGGCAGTGCAGCCCCTGCAGGGCCCCAGGGAGGAGGAGGAGGAGGAGGAGGAGGAGGAGGAGGAGGAGGAGGAGGGATGCTCAGGAGGCTGTGGAGCAGCCCAGAGCAGCAAGCACAGGACAGGGGGGACACGAATGGGAGGGGACAGATGGCCGAGGGGCAGGGTCACACACTGCCCACCCAGCTGGGGCAGGGGCAGCCCGGAGCCAGCCCCGCTCAGCCCGCGCCGGCTCCCCCAGCCCCGCAGCCATGGAAACTGGACGTTTTCCACCCCGAATTCCTTCCCTTTTGGAAAGGAGTTTACCAATAAAAGGCACTTAGTGCCGAATCCCAGGCCAGACCCAGGCCTCTTAAAAAGAGCCAATTAACTTCCTATTCCAGCAAAAAAGCTGCGAACACGCTCAGCCCAGATGTTCCCTCCCTCCTGCAAATAACGGAGGGAGAGAAGCTCATTCACGAGCTCCAGCTTGGCCACAGCCCTGCTCTGGGCAGCCTGTGATACCCACCTCGGCTGGGGCACCGTGGGGTCACTGTCCCCAGGTCTGGCATCCCCCAGAGCCCCTCGGGGACACCGGAGGGGAGGGAACGCACAGCCCCCAGCACTGCCTGGAGCGAGGGATCCCAAAGGGCAGCCGGGGACACCGGGCTCTCCAGGGTGACAGCCACCCCCAGAAGGGTTTTCTCTGGCTGGTGGGACAAGCCGTGCTGAAGGAGGAAGGAGATGCCAGGGGGGCCCCTCTGTGCCCTCACCTTCCTGCTGCCGTGCGAGGAGAAGCTGTGGGAATGCCTCTGGAGGCTGCCCCCGCTCAGGTCCAGCTGTGGCTTCCAGACCTCGCCGTTGTCGGCGGCCAGGCCCTTGGCTGGGGGCAGGGCCGAGCCCAGCAGGATCCCGTTGTGCACCATGTCCTCGGTGCAGGTGAGCCGCAGGCTGCACAGGTACTCGTCCGTCTCCTTGTCCACCACCAGCAAGCGCGTCTCCGTCTCCACGGCCTTGATGCGCTGCACCACCTGGGAAAAACGACAGGGACAGCTCAGCTGGAGCCCAGGGGGACACCCAAGGGCCCTCAGCTCCCCCCTGGGTGAAGGGTTACGCTCCCAGCTGCGGGTGATGGGGCAGAAAGGGCAAGAACACAGATTTGGGACAGCTCTGGTCCAACGGCCGCACAGCAGCGCTGCCCAGACCACCAGGACCACCCTGCCCAGCTGGGATCGCCTCCTGCTCAGTCAACAGCTTCCAGAGGCTGTCACTGCCCCTCAAGCATCAGCAGCTCTGCCTGGCACTGTCCTGCACAGGGACAGCCCAGTCTGTCCCACCAAGCAAACACCCAAAATCTCCTCAATCCACGGCGTCCTCCTACTCCCATACCCAGGGCAGGGCATGAGCCAGGAAGGCTCCAAGCACCAGTGTGGGCAGTGAGGTGCTGGACTGTCCCTCCCACACCATTGTGCAGGCTCGGGGTAGATTTAGGAAGGAAACAGCCCAATCCACGCATCCATCCCCAGCCCGTGCTGGGGACCAGCAGAGAAGGGAGCCGGGGCTGGGAGCAGGAGAGGAGCCCGTCCCTGGCAGGATCCTGCTCCAGGCAGGGCTGAATGGGGACATTGTCCTGCTGTGGCCGCTCCTTTGCGGGGATCAGGGACTGGCAGAGGCTGCGACACTGCGGAGAGCCAGGAGGAGCTGATCCCACAGGCAGGCAGGGGGTAAATCCCACCAGAGTGGGCTGGGATGGAAACAGGGAAAACCCAGCACAGCCACAGGGAAACCACCTCCAGACTCGCTGCTGGCAGCTGCCAAAGGCACCTCCCCCATGCACAGGCCTTCATCCCGAGGAGGAGGAGGGGTGGCACTGCTGCTCAGCTGCCATCCCCAGCCATGGGGTGGCTTTGAACACCCCAGACGTGCTGGGAACCCCCCAAAAGCAGCCCGGGGCTCCTTGCAGGGCTCCTGCACTGATCTAGGTCACAGTGGCCAGACACGGCAAGGTTAGAGCGACAAACGAGCCTAATACGCAATTAACCAGCGTTTATTTACTCTCTGCAAGCTGCACTCAAGGTCAACAGAGCCGGTATCTGCAAACAAAATAATAAAAAAAAAAAAACCAGCCTGCGAGAAATGTCCAGGCTGCAGCCAGGGCTGAGCTAACCCATCCACTGCAGCGATCCCGGGAGCCCACCCCCGAGCAGCCTGGAGGGGCTGATCCATCAGGCCCAGAAAATCCATCTGCTCCCGCTCAGATCCCTTCACATCTGCTGGCACCAGCAGTGCCCGGGCAGGGGCACTTCTCCCCGAGGGGACCTGGCAGCAGCAGCAGTCAAAGCTCGGCAGCAAAGATGCGGACGGGGAAGATGCTGGCCCTGCAGTGCCATCCCCCAGAGCCCACAATTCGGATGCTGCAGGCAGCACAGGGGATCACAGGGGTCCCACAGACCGCAGAGATGCTCAGAGGGTCCACAGAAGGGTCCAAAGCTGGTGTGGAGCAGTGCTGGGCTCACCCCATGGCCGAGCCCCCCAACAGCCACAGCGAGAGCAGCGATGGAGCAAAGGTACAAGTGCCAGGGGTGGAGAGTGGCACAGAGCAGCCCCTTGCCCCCTCCCCACGAGCAGGATGAGCAGAAGGGGCTGTGAGGAGCCCCCCAAGGCAGCAGGTCTCCCTGGGGACAGAGCAGAGAGGTGGGGGGCAAAGCAGCAGCTCCCGGCGAGCTCCTGCCCAGCACCGTACCCGCTTCCGAGCCATGCTCCCAGCCTGGAGTCCCGCAGGCTTCTGGAGACAATGCAGCCCGTCCTGCTCATCTGGGACCTCCTCAGCACCCGACCCAGCCCCAGGATTTCCGCAGCCCCACCCGAGCAGACTTTACCCCTGGCGACGGCAGCGCCAGCCCGGCAGCGCCAGCCCCGGGCCCTTCCACCCTCGCCAAACGGCAGCGCCCAGGAAGGACTCACGGTGCCAGCAGCAGCAGCAGCTCCTGCAGAGGTGCCCGTGCCCTGCTCCATCCTGCCAGGCTCCCCGGGCACCTTTCTGTGCTCAGGAGCTGCGGCTCTGCCCGGCTCCGAGGAACCCAGGACGCAACTCTGAGACAGAGCACGCTCTGCCTTCGCTCCTTGGGCAAGGCCAGGAAAAAAAACCAAGAGAACAAAGACAAAAATGCTGCCAGCTTCGGCTGGAAACACAGTTACACCCAAAGAGCAAGGCCTTGTGTGCTGCGGGCTCCCCAGGGCACATGGAGAAGTGTTACTTGTTCAAGGTTGGGCAAGGAGCAGCACGAGGAAGGACCAAGGTGAGGTGGCTGCTCAGAGCCACCGTGTGACCCACCAGGGCATCGCCCTCGCCACGGCCCATCAGTGCTGGCGAGGTTTTGGGGGAAGAAGAGGTTCTTGTGGTATTGAGGCAGGAAAAAGGGTGATCCCAGCGCTTGCACTCTCGCTCTCAGATGCCACGGCAGCCAGAGCGGGCACCGGGCGAGTTCCTGGACACCCTGGATGGGGACACCTCATTCCAATCACTGCTCTGCAGCAGCCAGCGAGTGCCAGCGCTCCATCCTGCCGCCAGCAGCAAAAACACAAACGAAAAAACAAAAAGGAAGAAATGGAAATTTCCCCCTCCCATTTCACTTGACCTACTGGGAAGCCCCAGCACGTTTCAAAGGCACAGCTGGCTCCGCTATCGCCCGTCCCCAGCAGCCCAGCGCCAGCAGGGAGCTCTGGTGGCTTCCAAGGCACCACAGGAACCCAGCCCTCCTTCCTGGCCAGCCACATCAAAGATGGGGATCCTCCTTCAAGGGGTTTGAAATCCCACTCAGGACAAACATCAACTTTCACACGGCTGGCTCGGAGCGTCAAAACAAGCTCAACTCGCCACCAAACCCCACCAGGCTCATCCAGAGGAGTCCACCAGGCTTTGTTGGAGCCACCTGGAAGGCTGTTTCACCTCCAGCACGGCAACATGCACACCTGGAGTGAGGTCTGGGAACGCACAGCCCCCCAAAACTCTGTGGGGTCACGGCACATCCCAGCTCTGCCCCCATGCAGCGCTGGCAGCGGGGCTAAGCAGATGTTTTAAGTTACTAAAACACCAAATCCTGCAGAGCTCCACAAACCACGAGGCAAATTGTGCCCCTGCCAGGCTCCGAGTGTCCAGCAGGACTGGAGCAGCTCGAACCTCGCTGCTTGCTGTTTTGTTTTTTCCGCATTTTTTGGGTTTTTTAGACTAAACTGTCTGACAAATCCAAGTTTCAGTTTTACAAGGAGAAAATGCCACAGCCCGAAACAGCTTTTGTTGGAGAGCAGAGAAACGGCAGCCTTGGACCTGCCCAGTCCCAGCGTGGTCAGGGAGAGCCACGGCTCCCCTCCGAGCCCTATCGCTCTCCGGCCAGCCCAACTGCCGAACATCTGCACGGCTTTATCTGCAGATTTTCAGGCATCTTCCCACACTCGGGGCTGCACAGGCAGGCGCAGCTCGCCCGAAGCAGCCAAGAAAACCCACGGCAGAGCCGGAAATAAAGCCCGGGTCTCCCCATTCCTTTCCACCACAGATTGCATAACGCGGCAGAGCCCTGCCCAGCCCCGCACACCTTCGCCTTCCCCACCTTGACACGACTGCAGCGTCCTGCGCCCGCAGCCCGACCCCGCACGGAGCTGCGGGTCCCGGGCCACGCAAAGCCCGGCCCCGGCATCTCGGGGGAGCATCCACCGCACCGCTGCGGCCAGCCCAGCGCTGCCCGGCCGGGGATGCTCCGGCGGGGATATTTTGGGTGAAACCCCCGCTCTGCCCGCCGCAGGGAGGCTGCAGCGGGCACGGCCCCGCTCGGCCCCGGTGCCCGTGTGCCCCGCTCCATCCCGCACCTGGTGATGCGTCTCCTGCTCCACGTTGAGCCCGTTCACCTCCACGACGCGGTCCCCGGCGCGCAGCCCCGCCGCCTCGGCGGGCGAGCCGGGCTCCACTTTGCGGATGAACTGGCCGCTCTTGCCCTTCTCGCCGTGCAGGTGGAAGCCGTAGCCGCTCTCCCCTTTCAGCATTCGGCACAGCCGCGGCTTCAGCTGGTCCTTGGCCATGGCCGGCGGCGGAGCGGCGGCGGCGGCGGAGCGGGGCGGGCGCGGGGCCGCTTTTATGGGCGGCCCGGGGCGGGCGCCGAGGGGCGGGTCGGGACCGGGGCCGGGGCCGGGGCCGGGGCCGGGGCCGGGGCCGGGGCCGGGGCCGGGGCCGGGGCCGGGGCCGGGGCTGCGGGCGGCGGTGGGAGCGGGGCAGCAGCGGGGCGAGGGGCCGGGGCCGGGGCGATGCGCAGCTCGGCCATGCTGCGGCTGCCCCGCGGCACCGGGAGCGCGGCGGGCGGGGACGGCGGCGGGACGGGAGGGGACGGGGCGGAGCCGCAGCGAGGGACGGGGCGGCACCGGCACCGGCACCGGCACCGGCACCGGCACCGGCACCGGCACCGGCATCGGCACCGGCATCGGGACCGGCATCGGGACCGGCACCGGAATCGGCACCGGCACCGGCATCGGCACCGCCACCGGCATCGGGACCGGCACCGGCATCGGCACCGGCACCGGCATCGGGACCGGCACCGGCACCGGCATCGGCACCGGCACCGGCACCGGCACCGGCATCGGCACCGGCATCGGCACCGGGACCAGCATCGGTGTCGGGATCGGGACCGGGACAGGCATCGGCACCGGCGCCGCACTGGGTCCGGCATTGGCACCGGCATCGGCACTGGCACCGGGACCGGCTCCAGCACCAGCATCGGCGCCGGGATCGCGACCGGGACCGGCATCGGCTTCGACACCGGGACCGGGACCGGGACTGGCATCGTCACCGGCATCGGCACAGGGACCGGCATCGGGACCAGGACCGGCACCGATGCCGCACCGGGACCGGGCCCGGCACCGGCACCGGCATCGGCGCCGCACCGGGACCGGCACCGGCATCGGCACCAGCGGCTGGTGGAGCCCCGGGGCCAGAAGCCCCGAGCAGCACGATCCGACGGCTCCCTGTGGCACGGGTGCCAGGGAAGCCGTGGCTGCCCCTGCATCCCCGAAGTGTCCCCAGGCTGGCCGCGGCTCGGAGCAGCCTGGGATGGTGGAAGGTGTCCCTGCCCATGGCAGGGGTGGCACTGGGTGGATGCCACTGGAGCTTTAAGTCCCTTAAGGCCCTTCCCAACCTAAACCGTTCCAAATTCAATGACTCCTGGTGGGGAAAGGCACCGGCTCCATCCGGGCTGAGCTTGGAGAGGCCACCCAGGTTTCACCTGGGCTGAGTTTGTTTAATGGAACACAGAGATCCCCGTCTTCACCTTTTTGCATTCCTCACCTTCATTTCCTTGAAATCTTTTACAAGAGGACGTGACCCAGAGCAGCTGTCACAGTGCTGGCCCCGAGTGTCACATTCCTGTGACACAGGTTCTCAGGCCTTCTTCTGCAGCTTCTCCTTCCTCATCCGCTTTCCTCCCAGATTTTACAGGGCTGAAGCAAACACAGCAGCCAGCTGGAGGCTGGAAAGAAAAGGCTCCAGAAATTAATCTTGATTTATTTTAATGCGTAGTTTGCTTTAAAAACCCTACTTCCACTGTAGTTATACATAAATTCACCCTTAAAAACCCCGGGACCACAAACATGCTTGGAGACTGCATCCTGAGAAATCACAGCATTATTTATCTCCGCCAATCCTCGTTCCCTGCAGGCACTGTGGCTCTGGGAGCTGCAGGGCAGGGGCTGCCGGGGGCACCGGTGCTGTCCCCTGGGCTGTCTGTCACCGTGGGGTGGGCACGGGCTCAGGCCCTGCCTCCAGACACGTGTGGCAGCCAGGAGGGTGTGATGGCCCACCAGGAGGATGTTTTAGTTCCCCCAGGAGGATGTGATGTCCCACCATGAGGATCTGATGTCCCACCAGGAGGATCTGATGTCCCCATGAGGACCTGATGTCCCAAAGATGACCTGATGTCCCCCATGAGGATCTGATGTCCCACCATGAGGATCTGATGTCCCCCAGGAGGAAGTTTTAGTCCCCCATGAAGATCTGATGTCCCCCAGGAGGATCTGATGTCCCACCATGAGGATCTGATGTCCCCCAGGAGGATGTTTTAGTCCCCCAGGAGATCTGATGTCCCCCAGGAGGATGTTTTAGTCCCCCAGGAGGATCTGATGTCCCACCAGGAGGATGTTTTAGTCCCCCATGAAGATCTGAGGTCCCACCAGGAGGATGTTTTAGTTCCCCAGTGATGGTTCTTTGGCCCCTGCACTGCCTGTGTCACCCCAGCAGCGCCGACCTCAGCACAAAGTCCTGGGTGACCCAGAGGAAGCAGAGAAACTGAGGCAGGTTTATTTGCTGTACAGCACAGCTGCTCCCCGGAGCCTCTTTGTGGAGTCCTGAAGCTTTTTGTCGGGCTGGAGGAGTGCGAAGAATTGATTTTTCCACTCGCTGGCTAAACCAAAATACGGGAGGGAAAGGGGGAGGAGAAGGAATTGTTTCAAGTTTATTTGAACCAAAAAGTTTTTCTTTGGATTTGGCGCAATAAAAACACAGTGGGAGAAAATCTTTCAGGTGGTCAGAGTGAATATTTGAACCCTTTTGAATATCTTTTTGAAAGCATTGGGAGCATGAAATTTTTTTTTTAAAGATAATAAAACAGAGAGAAAATATTTCAGAAAGGGGGGAAACAGTTGTTTACGTTTTTTTTAAGCACAAGCATTTTCTCAAGTGTGCCCTGGGCATTCTTTCCCCAAAAAACCCCATTTATTTATTGTGGAGGATGTAGGGGACGCTGTAGTCAGTGTAGCTCTGACTCAGCACTGGATCTTTGCCTGAGCACCTTGTGATCCTAAAATAAAACATTTATTTTGTGATCACTGTACTTCAGGAGCTGTGGTTGTGCCTCTGGCACACGGCTCTGGGCTGTCCTGGGATCATCCCAGGGTTCATCCCTGGGCACCAACATGGATCACAGGGAAATCCTGCATTTCTTCCCTGCACCTGGTGGAGAAGGAGCTGGAAGGAACATTAAAATACATCGTGCAAAGGTAGATCCTCCCGAGGTACAAAATACCTTTGGTTCTCCCCATCCTGCCTTTTCCCATCCTCCCGAGTCTCACTGAGGAGAGAGCCCAGAGAGGTTCCTGCGCCTGGAATGGCAGAGCCGTGGGTAAACCCTGCAGATCCTGCTCAGGCAGAAGTTTTCCATGTAAATTTTGGGTGTTTTGACTCAGGCACATCTCTCAGTCCACACTGGGCCTGCCTGGAGGCAGAGGCAGTGCAGGGACCTGTGAGCTCCGTGCCTTGGAAGGGTTTGGAGCTTTTTTTGGTCGACATCTGCTTCCAGTTCTGGGCGGTGACAGAGAATCCCACCTGTGTCCTCCTCCCTTTGCCTCGGGCCTGATGCTGTTGCAACATAATCCAAAATGCAGGTGCTGGGAGGACTTTCCCAGCGGCAGAAATCAGAGTCGGCCTCCAGGCTCCCTGGCAGCTGCCAGTGGGGATTTTGGGGAGCCCACAAAGTCCATCTTCCTGCAGAAACTGGGAAATCCTCAGCTGAGCCCCCAAACCTGCGCAGTCAGCTTTGCTCCTGAGGCAGTGGGAGGGTGAGGAGCCCTCTGAGGAGGAGGATGGTCGATGATGATGGAGTCACTGGGCTGTGCCAGAGCTTCCAGAGGGATGGGAAGTTTTCCACGTGCCTTTGGGTTCCTCACAGCTGAGGTGCCAGGAGCCCTGTGTGTCCCTCGTGCCTCCACGAGTGGCTCTGGGCAGCTCTGGTGGCTTTTCCATGTCCCACTCAGCCCATCCCTGTCCCGGGATGTCGCTTGAGCTCATCCTGCTCGGGGCTGGGAGCTGCTCCCAGCTCTCCTGGCTCCTTCCCAGCTGTGGGAGCTGCTCTTCCTCCCGCTCAGCCTCCTCCTCCTCCTCAGTGCTGGTGTTTATCCACAGCCAGCTTTCCTCCCCGCAGTTTGGGCAGCCCAGCACCTTCTGCTGGCTGTGCAGGGAGCTGTGGCCGAGCCAGAGCTGCTCCCGGTGCTGGGGATCCCTGCTGGGAGAGCCCCTGGCACCGCAGCGATCGGCTCTAACTGGGAATAAATGAAGTCCTGGGATTTCCCAGCGGCTCGGATGCTCCGTGCTCACTCCTGCCTTGTTTCAGCATGGCTCAGCGTGGGGCTGCCGGGCCTGGCTGCTCCCAGGGGATGATTTCAAAGGGGATGATTTATCTGTGCTGCCGGAGGAACCAGGAATGAGAGGAGAGCTCATAAAAAACACCAACTCATTTTCCCCGAGCCTCTGCGTGTGGCACTATTGAGCTGTAAACATTCCCCAGGTTAGATTGATGAGGACAGGAGGAGAAGCGATCATTAGGAGGATTAATTACAGGTTTTGTGGGTTGTGAAAGTCCAGAAAGTTCAGGCACGCTGCTGAGAGCCGGGAGATGCATCTTGCCCACGCTGGCAGCTCCTTTATTGCCCGCAGGAGTGGCAGAGCTGGGGCAGCTGAGCCGGGCTGGTGCTGCCGGGTGCTGGGAGCTGGCCACGGGCCCAGCCAGCCTGGCCACACCTGAGGCTCCACGTGGGAATTCCGGGGATCTGCTCCACACCCAGCTCCCCGTGGGACAGACACCCGCTGCCTCTGGCAGGCAGGACAACGCCTTTCCCCGGAGCAGCTGGGATGTGTCTGGTGTCCCCAGGAAAGCCCCGTGGATAAGGCAGCTCCACAGGGACTGGGTCCTGAGGAGGCTGCTGCTGGCACAGCCCATCCCCTGAGCTGGTGCTGCTGATGGTGCCATGCTGGCATGTCACTGTGCCTGCCACGGCAAGGGCATGGGTGTCACAGCAGCGCTGGCTCTGGGACCCTCTGTCGCTGTGAGCACTCATCCTCAGCAGCATCCACCTCCAGGGGCAGGCAGTCCTGGCAGCATCCACCCCCAGCTGCACCAGCTGCTGCTCCTGGTGGCACAGGTCCCTCTGCTCCTGGTGGCACAGGTCCCTCTGTTCCCCTGGTGGTACAGGTCCCTCTGTTCCCCTGGTGGAATAGATCCCCTCTGCTCCTGGTGGCACAGGTCACTCTGCTCCTGGTGGTACAGGTCCCTCTGTTCCCCTGGTGGTACAGGTCCCTTTGTTCCTGGTGGAACAGATCCCCTCTGTTCCCCTGGTGGCACAGGTCCCTTTGTTCCTGGTGGAACAGATCCCCTCTGTTCCCCTGGTGGCACAGGTCCCTCTGCCCCTGGTGACACAGGTCACTGTTCCTGGTGGCACAGGTCCCTCTGCCCCTGGTGGCACAGGTCCCTCTGCTCCTGGTGGCACAGGTCCCTCTGCCCCTGGTGGCACAGGTCACTGTTCCTGGTGACACAGGTCCCTCTGCTCCTGGTGGCACAGGTCCCTCTGCTCCTGGTGGAATAGGTCCCTCTGTTCCTGGTGGCACAGGTCCCTCTGCCCATGGTGGCACAGGTCCCCTCTGCTCCTGGTGGCACAGGTCACTCTGTTCCTGGTGACACAGGTCCCTCTGCCCATGGCGGCACAGGTCCCCTCTGTTCCTGGTGGCACAGGTCACTCTGCCCCTGGTGACACAGGTCACTCTGCCCCTGGTGACACAGGTCACTCTGTTCCTGGTGGCACAGGTCACTCTGTTCCTGGTGACACAGGTCCCTCTGCCCATGGTGGCACAGGTCCCCTCTGCTCCTGGTGGCAGGTGCCTGTGGCAGCTGAGCTGCTCAAAGCAGAGCGGGCACTCCCCAAACACAGCCCTGTGTGCACTCCACATGGGGGTGGCACCTCCCCCTGGCAGGGCCTGGGGACACCCGAGGGGTCCCTGACCCAACATCTCCTCCTGGCCTTGGCCCTGGGCTGCTGCAGGGCCCATCTGTGACAGGGTCTCTGTGCCACAGCCGTTTGCCACTGCCCTGGGCACCCTGGAGACAGAGGTGGCATCACCTCCTGCTCCCTGCAGCTCCCAGCCCTGATCTCCAGTGCCCATCCGTCCTCTGGCTGGTGGGACAGGAGGGGTGGCAGGGATGGGATCCCTGGCAGAGCCCAGCTCAGCACCAGGGCTCCCCACGTTTGGGGCCATTGCAGGGAGCAGCCGGCACATCCAGCTCCGTGCAAGGAGCTCCCACCCACGGCCAGAGACGTGCTCAGCCCTGGCCTACATCCCTGAGGACGGGGGAGGAAATTCCTCGGGGAGTTTTCTTCCTCCCGGTGCCCGCGGGGACCATTGTGTGTGCCCGGGCCAGCCCTGGCTGAGCTCACAGCTGCTCCCCAGGGCCGGTTCCTGCCCGGCCTCTGCCCTTCCCAAAGCCCCTCTGGCTGCTGCTGCTCCCCTGGGAGAGGCCGGGCAGCCGGGAAGGAAAGGGAGCTGCCCCGGCTGGGGTGGGACATCTTCCTGCCTGCCACGGCCCCTGGGATTCCCCCTCCTCTGGGCCTGGAACAAACCGTGGGCATCGCCAGCCCCTGCTGCAACCCAGAGTGCCAAGGCAGCGTGGCACGGACCTGGGCCACCTCCAGCTCCTGCCCAGGTGTGCTGCGTGGGCACTCCTGTGGCAAGCACATTTTTCTCCCTTTCAGGATTTTTATAGAGGTGCACAGAGAGAAATGAAAGAGGAAACAATTTTTATTTCTGCTCTTTATTTTTTTTTTTTATGTGGAATGTGTTTAGAGAATTGTTTCCCTGGGGTGATTCCTTGGTTGGATTCTGGTGAGGATTGTTTGAGCCTGGTGGCCAATCCAATCCAATCCAATCCAATCCAATCCAATCCAATCCAACTCAACCCAACCCAACCCAATCCAACTCAACCCAACCCAACCCAATCCAATCCAATCCAATCCAATCCAATCCAATCCAATCCAATCCAATCCAATCCAACTCAACCCAACCCAACCCAATCCAATCCAATCCAATCCAATCCAATCCAACTCAACCCAACCCAACCCAATCCAATCCAATCCAATCCAATCCAACTCAACCCAACCCAACCCAATCCAACCNCAATCCAACCCAACCCAACCCAACCCAATCCAATCCAATCCAATCCAATCCAATCCAATCCAACCCACCTGGGGCTGCACTCTCAAAGAGGATCACGAGTTGTGTTCGAGTTAGAGTCAGAGAAAGCAGGATGTAGTTTTAATATCCTCCTTTTATATAGTATATTAATGTATTTTAACATAGTTATAATAAAGAAATAATTCAGTCTTCTTGAGTCAGGCATTGTCATTTTCCCCATTGGGTTCAGCTGCATTTACAATACACCCCGAGCAGCACCATCCCTGCGCTGCCCAAACCCTCCCACGGGGCAGGGCCACAGGAGAGAGCCGGAGCGCCCATCCCTTCCAGGACCTGTGCCCTTGGCTGGGGTCCCGCTGGCAGAGGGGCACCCACGGGGACAATTCCCTGCTCTGCAAGGGTGCAGGGATGGGGACATGGTGGCAGGGCTCATCCTCACCCCCGTGGTGGGCACAAGAGGGTCTGGGGAAGCCACCTGCGCTCCTGGCACCTCCTGCCCACCGCCCCACAGCCTCCGGGACACGGCGGGAGGGAAGGGGTGACAGGGAAGGGGTGACTTGTGGCACCTGGGGGTTTCCGAGCCCCCCACCCATCCCAAAGTGGGATGGGGAATTGACCTCCTCGGCTGCAGTTTTCCCTGCACAGCTGGGGCAGCACCAGGACCCCAAATAGGGCCGGGAGCTGATGTGCTGCTGCAGCTCTGGGCCTCTCCGTGCTCCTCTCTACAGCTTTTGTCCCCTCACTTTGCTCCCAGCTGCAGATCCCAGATGTTGGCATTCCCCCTGAGCATCCCTGTGGCTGCATTTCATTTTGGAGCATTCCTGGGGCCTGGACAGGGACTCCCTGTGGCCGTGGGATCCCCTGGTCCAGCACGGGAAGAATGGGGGATCTCCCTCAGGACCAGCATTACAAGGAATCAGATTAACATCCATTAGGGATGGCTGGGTCCTGCCCTGAGGAGGGAGGGGAATTAATTGCCTTTTTAAGCTTCCTTCCTTTTTATTTGGCTCATTGACCCCCAGGGAAGGCCCAGATGCCTCCAGAGAAACAGGAGTACAGAGGGAATTATTTTACAGCCCCGGTGAGGAATCAGCTGGAGTTCTGCAGGAAAAATGATTTCCCAAGGTGAGGAGTGAAGGGTTTGTGATTCACTGGATGTCTCGCTGGGTTCACTCCAGCAACTGGCACGTTCAGGTGTTTGCTGCCAACAGATGAGGGTCTCTCATGCCACCATCCTCCACCCCCCGTGCACCCTCCTGCTCAAAGCAGAGTTTTACCTGTTCTACCTCATTTTATCCCTTCTTTTCTGGGAGAAATTGGCCTCATGGCCACTCCAGGGGCTGCTGGCTCCTGCCAAGGATGGATTCAAGTGCAGCAATTGAGTCTCATCAGTCCCAGCACTGCGCCATCGAAGGGCAGGAGCTGGAAAATTGTGGGAGGGGGCAAGGAGAGGGGAACTGGAGGAGAAACTGGGGAGGAAAACAACAGGGAGAGAACAATCCTCCATGGGTTACAGCCCCTGAAATCCTCCCGAGAGCCTGTGAGGGATGACAGCAGCCCTGGGGTGAGGGGAGGGAGGCAGGGGAGAGCCTGGCCTGGCTCCCCTGACAAACCCCAGGCGAGATTTTTCCTTCCAGACCAAACCAAAGGCAGCACAAACCCCCTCAGAGCAGGGGGTTCATCTAAAAGGGGTGGAAACGTTTCTTTTTGTTAAATTTCCTGCAAAATCCGCTGGCAGGTTAAAGCTCAGCAGTGCCAGACTCAGCCCCCAAACCTCAGTTTTCTCTAAATCCCAGATCCCAGCCGCTCCAACGCCCCTTCCCCACATGCTCCTGCCCAGCCCTGAGGCTTCTCCCTCTTTTAATGGGGATTGACATTTATTTCCATCAGTGGGAATATATAGAAATTAAACCCGAAAACACAAGCAGAGCAGTGAGGGCTCGCAGAGCTTTTGTACAGCCCAGTCAAGGAAATATCCCGAAATTTTGTCATCTGAGTTGGCACTTGGCCTGGCAGTGACTCCCCAACAGGCAGTAAAAGAGATTTACTGTAAAACTGCAGAAAAAATTGTGTCAAGGAATTAAATCATGTCAGAAAAATCTGGGAGTGACCCAACTGCTGACGTGTCTGCCCCGTGCAGAGCCAGATCAGGTTTTGCTCTCAAAAAAACCCCACCAAGACCCCCACAACAGCACCGGGAAGCCAAAGTTTCCTTTGATCACATCTCATTTTAATGAGGGCAGGTTCCGAGGAAGCAAACAGTACATGTTTCTATCCGATTGAAAACAAGCCAGTACAGAAATGTAAAAAAAATAAACAAAAATAAATATCTCCCCTGTTTCTTTCTCCCCGAGTTCACAGCACAAGGCTGACCTGGAAACGAGATGGATTTGCCGCTGCGGCTGGGCAGCGGCCGTGAGAAATCAGATTTTTTGGGATGTCACTGTCTGTGTGGTTTCAGAGAGGTCGGAGTACCCGGAGATCCGCCGAGGAGACCTTCCCTGCCAGCCAGGTGAGCAGGTCCCAGCCGGGGCAGCCAGGGCTCCTCTGGCACACGGAGCATCTCCCCCACGTCCGTCAGCGGCTCCGAGCCAGCGGGAAGAGCTGCAAGGAGAAGAGGGATTGGATTATTTTGGAGCATCCAGCTCCAGCAGCACCTCCCTCCCCACGTGGGACCCCGTTTTCCCCCAGTGCCGTGTTGAAACCACAGCTCCATTCACAAGTTTCATTAAATCTCCTCCTCCACAGGCTCAGCTCTGACCTGCAGGTTCTCTTTTTGCCACCATTCATGCAGATAAACCCCACTCAGATAAACCCCACACAAATAAACCCCACTCAGACCCAAATTCTACATTTGGACCTGCCCACAGAGTTGCCAGTGGGATTTTGGCTGGGAAATCAGAGGGATGCAAGGGTGTACCCAGGTCAGAGCCTGCGGTGCCCAGGACAGCACAGACGTATCCAGGGCTGGGTTGACCTGTCTGGGCTTTCCCAAAATGATTCTTATCCCAGATTTCCTCCAAAAAAAATGAAGTGGGGGAGGAATACAGCTACATGTTTCAGGGGCTGATCCAACAGCTAAAAGCCTCGGTGGATTTCAGCTGGATGTTGGCTCCAGCTTTACATAAGAGGAAAGAAATGTAAAGCCTGGAGCTGGCCCCGAGGCAGTCCCACGCAGCCTGGATGAGCCCTGAGGGGCAGGAGAAGGGTCCTGAGCAGGGGAGGGCCATGCTGGGAGCATCTGGGCATCACCAGGCTGCCAGCCCCATGGACACCCCATGGACACCCCACAGACACCCCATGGACACCCCATGGACACCCCATGGATACCCCATGGATACCCCACAGACACCCCACGGATACCCCATGGACACCCCATGGATACCCCATGGACACCCCATGGACACCCCATGGACACCCTCGGGCACGGGCAGCTCGGTCCCTCAGAGTGCAGGGTTTGTGATGTACCAAAAATGCACAGAAATCCTACAGTCCTGGAACGGGTTGGGTTGGAAGGGACCTTAAAATCCCTCCAGTTCTGCCCCCTGCCATGGGCAGGACAACTTCCCCTACACGAGGTTGCTCCAAGCCCTGTCCAAGCTGACCTTGCCCACTTCATCCAGATCTGTTTGCGCCCTAAAGGCCAAGCGTAGCCCCTACAAACACGCACTTACCCGGTGCCACCCTCCAAAGTTCCCTGAACCCCAATTTCCTGATGAAACCCCTGCAAGGCTCCACACTCCCCATGACCTGGTGACCCCCCAGCCCCCGGGGTGCCGCGGAGTGAGCGCACGGCTCCACACCCCACACGGGGATCGCATCCCTCGAGCATCCCTGGAGCACCCCGGAGCATCCCAGAGCATCCCGGAGCATCCCGGAGCATCCCAGAGCAACCCAGAGCACCCCGGAGCATCCCTGGAGCACCCCGGAGCATCCCGGAGCATCCCGGAGCATCCCAGAGCACCCCGGAGCATCCCGGAGCATCCCGGAGCATCCCAGAGCATCCCGGAGCATCCCGGAGCATCCCGCAGCATCCCAGAGCATCCCAGAGCATCCCGGAGCATCCCGGAGCATCCCTCGAGCATCCCGGAGCATCCCGGAGCATCCCAGAGCATCCCAGAGCATCCCGGAGCATCCCGGAGCATCCCGGAGCACCGCGGACCGCCCGCTCCGCCCGGATCCCCCCGGATCCCCCCGGGCCCGCTCCGTCGCGTTACCTGGGGCTGGCGGGGCCCGGGCGGGGGCCGGGCGGGGGCCGGGCGGGGGCCGCCCCAGCCCCAGCCCCGCCGGAGCAGGCGCTGCAGGAGGCGGCCGGGGCCGGGCGGCGGCGGGGCCGGGCCGGCGGCCGGGGGGCTCTCCCCCGGGGACGGGGGGCTGTCCCCGCCGGAGGTGCCGGGATGCCGGAGGGGCTCTGCCGGCAGCTCCCGCCGCCAGAGGTAAGGAGAGCGGCGGACCCCCATCAGCAGCCCCGAGGCGCGACCCACCGTGTGGTACCGGGGGCTGGCGACGTGCTTGTACCAGGCGCCCGCCGGGGCGGCCGGCAGCATCAGCCCCAGCAGCACCAGGGCCCCCCAGGCGCCCCCCGACAGCTGTCCCCTCGCCATGGCGCAGGGCAGGCTGCGGGCAGGGCTGTGCCCGGCCCCGGGCACCCCAGCGACGGCTGCCCCGTGTCCGCGCCCCGCCGGTTTATAGCGCCGTCGGGAGGGGCCCCGCGGCTCCGCCCCGGCAGCCCCCGGCCTCCTCCCGCGGCAGCGCCCCCCGGGATGCCGGCACCCTCCGCATGGCCCTCCGAGCATCCTCGGAGCGTCCCCGAGCGTCTCCCTGCAAGCCACAGCATCCCGCGCACCCCTGAGCATCCCCCCTTGTCGCCTTTAGCATCCTCCCCATGGCCCTGAGTATCCTCTGAGCATCCCGCTGAAACCCAGAGCAACCCGAGCGTCTGGGAGCATCCTCCTTCAGCATCGTCCTAATGGCCTCGAGCATCCTCTGGGCATTCCCCCGCAGCCTGGAGCATCCCAAGCATCCATCAGCATCCTCGCGTTGCCCGCGGTGAAGTGCTCAGGACATTTGCAGTGGCTTTGTCAGGCTGCTTGCCCTCCTCCTCTGCCACTCAGCTCTTCTTAAAGACCATATCACCATCAATTCTGCCTTTGCAGTCAGCTGATTTCACCCTCCCCAGATTCCTTAATGAAACTGAGCAGGTGAAGTTTATGCTCATCAGAGAGCAATTCCAGTTCCTCCTGTTTATTAGGAAACTTCTTGGCTTTATACGCTGAACTAGGACTAAATAATTTCTAGGGGTTTTTTTCAGACCACACAGAAATTAAGTTTCATCTCAGCATTTTAGAATTATGGAATGGTTTGGTTTGGAAAGGACCTTAAAGCCCGTCCAGTCTAACCCCAACACCTTCCACTATCCCAGGCTGCTCCAAGCCCTGTCCAACCTGACCTTGGACACTTCCAGGGATGAGGCAGCCACAGCTGCTCTGGGCAGAGGTTGGAATTTCTCCTTGTGGATTTTATTCTAACATGGTCCAAAGGAATCCCATGCAGGCTGCTTCCCACCACTGGGACCCCCAGTCCTTTAGCATCCAGCCCCCTCTTCGTCCACCCAACAAGCACAAGTTCCCAGTGGAAACTTTGTCAGCCCAGCCTGCAGTTGCTGGTGCTCTGCACCTCTCCACTCTGGGGGATGTTTTCCCAGGCTCACACTGGGCACAGAGCCATGCTGAGGACCCCGTGGAGTGTGGGATCTCAGCCAAGCAACGTCCTGCTCCTGTAGGAACCAGCCCCTTGGCCTGGCAGGGATGGGCAATGTCAGTGTGGATTTTCCTCTTCTGAGAAGGATGGGAGTGAATGCAAATCCCAGTCGGCAAGAGGAGGATCCAGCCTTGTGTGAGAGGATGCTGGAAGTTATGTCTGTGCAGAGCACAGCTCCTTCCTGTAATGAACCAGAGCAGAGGCCAGCTCAGCCACAGCTCGAGTTCTTGGAAGCGCCCAGGTTTACAGTAAGGATGAGCCTGGCTCCCGTCTCACTCGGAGCCAATCCCTGCTGGATGGGCTATTTTTGTCACCCCTTGAGTGCTCTGGACATTGGAAGGGCCCCAGCACTTTCCTGTTTGCTGGAGCCATTAATGAATGGCAGCGGTACAGCGCATCCCCGGTCACCCGGCACGGGACACGCAGGGCTCCGCTCCCCCGGCTAAAGCCATGGCACTCCCTCCTCCCCACGAGGAAGGATCCATCAGGAAGCACCTGATGCTCCTCTTGGCTTGTTCTGCACCTGCCCTGTGCCCAAACAAAGGCAGGTTCAGCAGCTCCTGTTTCACTGCAGCCACGCTCCAGCGTGGGCTCAGCCTTCCCAGCCAGGAACAGAAGATTTTCTCATTCCCAGGGATCTGCCCAAAGTGTCTTTTCTGTGTGTTTTTGGTGTGACTTGGGTAACTTGTCACCCTGCTAAAGTCTCCATGAACTGAACTCTTTCCTCCTGGGAATGATCCCTGCTGACAGCCAGCAGCTCTGTCTGCGAGGCACCGAGACCCTGGGGATACAGCACGGCCCCAGATCTCCAGCAGAGTGCACGTTTCCTCTCCCAGGAATTTTTAAATATCTTTCCAACGAAACAGCTGATAAGCAATTTGTCTTCTATTTATATTCTAAGTAAGTAAAGATAATTTTAGGATTCTTCTTCCCCTCGCAGAAGACGATGCTCCTCAAATACTGTAGCACGTCAGCGGGCACATGGCACCGTGCTGCTCCGGGGTGGGCTTGTGCCAGGAACTCCCCCAGAGGAGCAAAATCCTGCTTATTTTTGGGAGATAAAAAACTTCTGAGCAAGTCCTGGTTCCTATGGAAGTCTGGTACAGACTCACAGGAATGTGAGATCTCAGCCTCTCAGGTCATTTCCATAGCAGCAGGTGTTTGTCGACCCCGGGCAGGGTCCAGCTGACCCCAAGCCCTTTTTGGAAACCCCATTTTTATGTTTTTATTTAAACCCTCAGATTTTGACTCCAGCATCACATTTCCCAACCACACTGACACAGCTCCCAGTGCTGGGGTTCATCCCAGTGCTCGGATGAACCCTTAACGATGTCATTCCACATTTGCTGAGGGGAAGGGGAATGGGATCATCACTGAATCACAGAATCAATGGTTTGAGTTGGAAATGACCTTAAAAGCCATCCAGTCCCACCCCCTGCTGTGGGCAGGGACACCTTCCACCATCCTGAGTTGCTCCAAGCCCTGTCCAACCTGACCTTGAACACTTCCAGGGATGGGGCAGCCCCAGCTTCTCTGAGGAACCTAACCATAGGGATTTATCACATGGCTCTGCTACTCAAAGAATTTAAAGTTTTCTTCTTTTATTTTGGAACAAAATCACTCTTTTTGTAAGAGGAAGGCTCTGCTGCAACTCCCATCCTGCTGGATGCTCAGGTTCTCCAGAGGGTGCCTCCAATTTTTGCACTGCACCCACCATTTCCACCACAGCTCCAGGGCATGAACTGGGATTTCTGGAAAACATCCTGAGGGACCCCATGGCTGAGGGGAGAGAGGGGTGAGCAACTGGAGGCACCACATCTTCACCCCTGCAATAAACCCAGCTGAGCTCTCCAAAGAGCCTCTCCACCCGATTTCATTCCTGCTGTGCTCTCACCTCCCACCACACACATTACTGCAGCCACTCAGGATTTGTGGCTTTGGAGAATGAGCTAAATGAATTTGATGTCCCAGAAAGAGGCACTTGAAAGCGAAACCGGTGAGGTTTAATGACAGCATTTTCCACATTTTTATGATAATGACTCTGGTATTTATTGGAAGGTTAGCAACTCAGCCGAGCAGGAAAACAAAGCAATCGGAGAGGCCAGCCCTGCCATGGAGCCTCTGCACTCTTGGGCATTAATGCCTGCTCTATTCATGACATTTTTTGGCCATTTGGGCTCTCCAGAATGTCCCTGTGGGAGTATGAGAGGATGGAGGTGACATCACTTGGATGAAGGGCAACAGAGCCTGCCCTCCTGCACTCTGCAAACTCATCCAACTCTGCTAATTGGGATCATCCTGTTCTTCAGGCTGGGAAACGGAGGCACACAAAACGTTCAGCACATTGCCAAAGACCTCCCAAGGAACAGAAGTTTGGCCCAAGGAACAGAAGTTTGGCCCAAGTAACTTGGAACCTGCTGCTCCAAGGGCCTTCACCTGGCCACTGCCTGCTCTGCCTTCCTGTGCAGGTTGGCCTTGGAGAGGTGGACACAAATCAGCCAAAAGCAGCTGCACCTCTTCGAAATCAGCTGGAGGCACAGAACTGAAGTTGGAGGTTGGAGAGGGATGAGTGTTGGTGCCCATGCCATGGCAGGCAGTGCCAGGCACTTCCCAAGGCCGGGCACAGCCGGTGCTGCCGTGAGGAGGGGACTTTCAGACAAGGTTGGAAGCTCAGCAGCTGAGCGAGCTGGGACTGCATGTCCCACTCACAACTGTGACATTTTTGTCACATTGTGTGAACACCCTGCTGCCCAGGTCGCTGCTCTGATTGCCCACTGCTCCATCTCTGCCCAGACACCAAATTCCTGCACTTCCCCTCCCTCCCCAGATTCACATCCCTGCTGCCTCCTGCATTTCTTCAACCTGGCAGTGAGCAAAGCCTTGATGGCAAGAAAAGGATATTCCCACACATGTGGCTCAGTAAATCCTGATGTTTTCCAACACCCGTCCCACTGCTGAGCTCCTGGGAATCAGAACAGTGTTTGTGTGGGGCTGGGATGAGGCACTCGGCCAGGGGGACCCACACAGCCTCGGTGCCTCAGGTGCTGTGGTGGCAGCACTCCAGAAAGCCCCAGCAATAACAACCTTTGCCATTTTCTTGCATCTCCAGCGTGTCCTTGTGTAACAAACTCGGATCATGGAGCAATTCCTGCCCCCGGTGATTCAGAACGTGATTAAACGCTATTTGTCTGTTCCTCTGAAATAAAGGAGCTGTAGTTGCTACAAACAAATTACGGTTTCAAGCTGTGAGGTAAAACACACCTTGACTCCTGAGAAAGCTGCTGCAGTCTTTGGTGGCTCTGAAGAGAAAGAGGAAACAACAAGGGGTGTTTCCTAATGTTGCACATTTTGCTAAAGTGCACTAAATTAATTATTTGACTCCTAAGAAGCAACTCGTTCCCCACTATTTTTAGCCTCACACACTATTTTAAGAGGTTTTGTCTTCAGGGTCCAGTCACGTGGAAGTTAAACAGAAGGCAGTGAAGTCTCCAAAGGATAATAAACTATCTCAAATTACTTTGCTAATGGAACAAAGAGTACTGTAAATGTCACACAGGATAGAACAAGAGCAGGAGAAACCTTTACACGAAACAATGGATCCATTAACACAAAGGTAAGGGAAAAATCCCACAGACTTGTGATACTTGTGCAGAGCTTCACGGAGCTGCTGCTCCAAGCCAAGGGAATCGGTTTCCTCACTTGGATTCTGTGCTGAGCTCACACCACAATCACCCACACTCTCAAGGCATTGATCCTTTAGGATTTCAAAGCCCTTTACAGACAAGAGCTAAGCTCCAGGTGAGTCAGTGGAATTATTTCTGCTTCAAACCCAGGTACAGAGAGGGAATCACTGAATCACTGATGGGAGACCAAAACCAAACACAGGTCCAGACTCACCAAACCCACCGAAGGGTCCTCACCTCCAGCTTAATGAAGTTGTCCATCATCCTACAAGCTGCAGGAGCGACCCTTCACTCCTGAGGTGACTTAGCAGCTGGAGAACCCAGCTCTGGTGGGGCATA